GGAAAGGGGAAGTTTCAGCGGAAAGGGGAAGTTTCAGCAGAAAAGGGAAGTTTCAGCGGAAAGGGGAAGTTTCAGCAGAAAGGGGAAGTTTCAGCGGACCAAGGGGAAATTTCACAGAAAAGGGGAAGTCCTACCGGGAATGGGGAAATAAAACTTTTTTGGGGAAGTTTCATCGAAAATGGGGAAGTTTCATCGAAAATGGGGAAGTTTCATCGAAAATAGGGTAATTACTACCCCCTTTGCGAGGAAACTTCCCTAAAACTATTCCCTAGTGAGATAGATCAATTGGTAAAGCGTCCGTCTGGAGTTCGGAGGGTCCTGGGTTCGAACCCCAGTCTGGCTGTGCATTTTTCTCTCCTGTTACAATGTCTAATACTACGCCGTGGCACTCTCCAGAAATCAATACGTCTGACTGCCATGATTTATAACGAAACATCATATTTATAACCCCAAGACTCAAAACCCAAAAAGTAAAGATCTTGTGCAGCCTTACTTTTGATTTTGCTAACAAAACGCTATGGAATGTGACATCTTCACTTACCCGAACATTACCTTTCAGGTCACAGTGCACCATCCTGATAGCAGAAAACATCCCTGGTATGTTGACCCCGTCGACTCTGCCCCAGATTTAGGACACTATTGTGACATTAACATGTTTTGTAGCGACCCGACCCATCTATATTACACAACATTGTTAGAGGTTTACACAGGGAGACACTTGACAGTGGTCGCGTAACAGTCGATAAAATCATATCCAGTAGAAAAAAGGCTGACCAGCGGCCTCATATGTTATAGGAGTAGACCTTAACCAAGGTGTTCAGAGTAATTTTACATGTTTAGGGGTTAATTTAGATAGACTTTAGGTAGAAATGCCGCCCTCAATGATTATATAAAGCTCTCGATGTCGAAAAGTCAACCCCACCTAACTTTCTTGTATCAAAAACATTTCTAGTTGATGTAAGAAAAGAAGGATAAGTTTTCTTTTAAAAACCTCCGATATGCACGTAAAATGTATTCTCCTTCCGTGGACATGATTTCTGTTTCCTCCAAAAACACACACCATGGCAGATGTCACATGAGTGCACTATTCTAAATGGATTTCCGGACTCCAATATATATATATATATATATAGTACTCCAAGACAAATTGTCAATATATATTATAGTTGGTTTTATTTATGAAACTTAAAACGCAACAAGGAGACACTGAAGGAGACACAAGGAGACAGGGACTTTACTTTGTGGCTGTAAGCTTTAAGGCACACATGCAGATCTAGGTATAGTTTAAACATCAGTGCTGCATGCTCCCTTCAGGGTTATATTTCTTAGACTCGTGTTGCAATACACATGGGGCGCTTAGGTGAGGCTCCCATGTGCATATGGGTTCATGCAGGTCAAAGTGTCTCTTGAGCTCTCGGCCAATATTATCTCTCGCCTCTCACACGTCACAATAACAACCTGATATAATACAGGTACATTACACACACCATGACATATAGACATACCGACACACACACCCAGCGCAAGTATTTATAAAATAGCAATTTAATATTGAATATGTACATGTCAAGCTTATAACCATTAGCTTGACCACCGTGACAAAGTTTCAAAGTTTTTTGCATTCATCGAGCCACTTTTTGTATATTAATGAGGTTGATGTCAGCTTTGTGCCGTAACATGCAGTGTTGGGTTATTTTAGCGAAAAAATGGCTACGCTTCCAGTCTATCACACCACGAGTCTCGGCATGAGGCTGATGTCAACCTCATTAATATACAAAAAGTGGCTCGATGGCTGCGAAAAACTTTGAAACTCTGTGTCACGGTGGTGACATTTTATTTAGGTTCATTGTCATATCATTGCAGATCTCTCAGCCAAGTTATCCAAGATGAGACTGACTCCACCACTTTTAAAGCACCAGATAGTAAGGCCGTTCAAAAGAGCATGGGCGGCCAAGTACCCATACAAAGTGGCTGATAATAAAGGTTTACCTAAAGCACTGGTACTTAAAGGTGAGGAATGGAATGTTTTAGGAAATCTCAGCTGTTCTCAAAAATTCACTAATTTTTGTACAATTTTGGACCAAAGAGTCCATGATTAGTCATAAGTGTTTGTTAACAGAATGAAACACATACAAAATGTTTGTTTTCTTAGATTTTGAATTTCTATCTATAAACCCATGCACAGTAAAAAAAATGTATCTAGAAAAAAAGTTAAGTTATATATTGGTTTTTGGAAAATCAAGAACACTTTTTGCTGATACAGATTTGATTGATATGTTTTGAAGATGCATTTTCTTTGAAAGACTTCTTATTTGAAAAAAAATTGAGGTGAAAATTTCACTTATCTCTAGTTAAAGTTAGCCAACGTTTCAGCAACTGGAGCCAGACGTTCAAGAAAATGAGAATGCTGATTTTTCATATTGCTGTATTTCTTTCTAATGCAACTTGTGATTTCACTTCCAGATCTCCTTTGACTCTACAGGCTAGTTATATTTATCTCACTAACATTACATTTACCACAGGAGATAGAAATGACGTTGCAGTTTACTATTAAATTCATATCCCATGTATTCGGTGTGCTATATTTGCAGTGGGAATTTAGTTTCTTGTTTCGCAATTTAACACAATTGTGTGAACTTTCTTCCTAGGCCGAAAACTCCATTTTGTTAGGCATTTTTCTGCGTTGGTCTTCTTTGCCCATTTAAATTTGCTGTTGCAAACAGTTAAACTGCACACCTTCTGACTAAACAGTGATTTTATAGGGTAAATTTGGGGGCGGGCCTTCCCCTAGATTAATTGCTGCTGTATTTTCCCAAAATCATGCTTTTTGATAATTTCCTAAAGTCACAAAAAAGGCACATGCCCCTGTTGAAAGGATGAAGAAAAATCACTATTAAAAAGCATGAGGGAAAAAATCGAAATGTTTCAAAGCGCTGAAAAGGCAAGCAAACCATGGTTGTTTTTGTACATAGAGGAAATAGCACAAATTTAACTTGAAAATAGCTTTTGATGCCTGTATATATATATACTGTAGAAAAGTGTCACGACTGACTACCATAACCAATGTTTCATTTTGTTGATACAACTGGACACCTCACATTTGTCAGTTTGTGGTTTCATTGCAGGGTATGGTGAATATATAAATACACAATGACATATTTTGTACAGAAAGGAAATTTAATGTTTAATACAATTATATACTAATTGCAGGTATTGAAATCAAGGACCCCTATAACAACGAGAGGACTTCAGAGAAATTGGAACCTGTGGCTGTACCTGCCACAGTTGTTCCAACTAAGGGTCCGGAGGAGGACCTACCTGGCTACAACACTAAACCAGTGATGGAATTCACTGACACGACTCGCTTCATTGAAGGTACTTGATGCAAACAACTGTTCTTTTCTACCATACTTCATATATGTCTTTGGGTGGTGGGGTGGCGTAGTGTATAACACACTCGCTTTGCAGCAAGACATGGAAAGTAATGGAGTCACCTGCCCGACAACATGGGTTTTCTCTGTGTAATCTGGTTTCCTCCCCAATTTAGAATCCCTTTGTGTGAACGCCTGGGCCAATAAGAGCGATTAAGATACACTATTAAGTTGCAATAACTATTTTGATATAGTTTAAATTACTTTGTGATATTAGTACTAAATTTTTGTATCCTATTGGATGTCAACCCTTTCACCACTGTAGACCTTCATGGACTCATCCAGATGAATGCATGGTAGAGTCTACTCAAGTTACCTAGGGGTGAAAGGGTTAAGACAAGCTCAAAGTGACTCATCTGGGTTACTGTGCAGAATTTGAGCGATATTTTCTGTAACCCAGGAGGAACAGTTCATTTGGTACTGATGATTTTCTGATGCAGTTAATTATTTGTGTCACTTCAGGTATCAGACAAGCTCAGCATCTGACCAAGTCGATCGTCTACAACGGAATGCCTGAGGGAGTGTCTAGCCTAATGGATAGGGTGGAGCATTCTAACCAGGTAAAGTGAAGGTTATAAATCACTGGCTAATAACCAGGTAAAGTCAAGGTTATATAGTCTAATAACCAGGTAAGGTGAAGGTTATAAATCACTGGCTAGATAAGGTAAAGGTTATATAGTTTAATAACCAGGTAGAGTAAAGATTATATAGTCTAATAACCAGGTAAAGTGAAGGTTATATAGTCTAATAACCAGGTAAAGTGAAGGTTATATAGTCTAATAACCAGGTAAAGTGAAGGTTATATAGTCTAATAACCAGGTAAAGTGAAGGTTATATAGTCTAATAACCAGGTAAAGTGAAGGTTATAAATCACTGGCTAGATAAGGTGAAGCTTGGGTTATATAGTTTAATAACCTCCCCAATTTAGACTCCCAGTGTGTAAACGCCTGGGCCAGTTAGAGTGATTAAGATACACTTTTAAGTTGCAATAACTATTTTAATATAGTTTAAATTACTTGGTGAGATTAGTACTAAATTTCTGTATCCTATTGGATGTCAACCCTTTCACCACTGTAGACATTCATGGACTCATCCAGATGAATGTATGGTAGAGTCTACTCAAGTTACCTAGGGGTGAAAGGGTTAAGACAAGCTCAAGGTGACTTTTATTGATAAAATGATAGTTGTTTGTTTGGTTAAATTTAGAATAAACTCCTGAAGCGGATCATCCTGCAGAGTCAGAAATGGGACCCAGCCAAGGACAAACTTCCGAGGAGAATCGATAAGTCCTGTATCAAGTGGAACTTCCAACGTGAATACGGAATTCCTAGGAGTAGGAGTATGTAAGTATATAGAACTAACTCAAGTCTGTGGTTTCTCGGAACAAAAACATATACACCTGCACTTGTAAGTGCACAAACTTTAATCAGATCTAGAATTTCTCGATATGGAATGTTGAAGTAAAAAAATCAAACTGAGCTTTCCAACTCATTGGAAACTGGCAACTCCCCAAGTACCTAGGTAAAACTACAACCTGAAATTTTACAGGGCGTCGCATGCATGAATGTACGAGAAAACAAAGCAGAGTCAGGTCTCAAATATACACAGAATAAGGATTTTCTTAGTTAAGATATACCTGATTTTGTACATGAAAGGAATATGTTGGTAGCTAGGCACCAGTTTCATGAATTTTCCTTAACTTAAAGAAGAAAAAAAAACTTTTTCCGTTTGAAAGCATTAAGTGTACCTCAGGTAAAGTCTTAGAGGAAGTTTACTTGACATCAATGAATCTTTCCTGTGGGTAGTACAGGGATTAGACATGATTCAGACCTCAACATTCACGGGGCAGGAATAACAGAGTACACACACCTACGTCAGACCTGAGATTTAGACAAGGAACTGTTCTTAAAAAAAATGATCAAATAATTCAATTTATATGTGTGATAGGAGAAAAGAGAAATGTAACGGCCAGACAGGGGTTTGATGATCGATCCAGTCCAGTTCCGCTACATATGTTAGCCAAATGTTTGAGTTTGAGTATTGGATGCTAAATGCATCTGTTTTATTTTGTAGTCACATTCTCAATACTAACCTGGTACGCCTGGCCAACATTATTGTCAATGGACACTGCCCAGCTGCCATCACAGACCGACAGCTTCATGTCAAGCCCGCGTTTGATTCGCATTACACATTTATGGGTAAGTAGGGGCCAGACTCAGGTGGGTTATCACTCCGAAGTTTATCAAAGTTTATCAGAGTAAGTTTTAAGTCTGTTTAAAAGACCCATTCCCGGGGGGGAAAAATATACTTTTCTCCCAATTCGACACCTCAAAATTGCCAATACGGAATTAAAGTAAATAAAAGCATCAATTTACGAAAAACCTGATGATTGACTGAATTCCCTGAATCAGTATATAGTTACTGTATACCGGGAATTTTCACCGTGGAGTATCTTTGGCCTTTTTTGTCCTTCCAAGGGCGAATTTATCATTTAATGACAGTTAATGTTAGTACCCAATATACAGTATATAGTATTTTCACGTTAAGGGTGAGATTTACGCTGGGCGAAGGTGCAATTTATCAACAAATAGTGAATATTTGACCAGGAGAAAGTTTCCCAGTATACTGTATATAGAAAGGATTAGTCTTAAATAAAGTTCAACAGTCAAAGTCTATGTATTCAGAGTTGTGATAGTGATTCACCAAAGTTTTGAAAAAAAAAGGTTTTATTTTATGTTGAATTCTTTTTCTCAAATTTTATTACACGGTCTGTCTCCTAAAAAGCTCCTGATAAACTCCGGAGACTTACAGTTAGTGTATATTGACCAAAACGGTTTTAGATGAGTTTCCTTTATTCGTTGTTAAGCTGAGAAATTTTAGTACAACTCTCTTCAAGGGCCACTTGTTTAGTACCCAAGAAGATTAACTCATGCATCCCTGAAGACACATTTGAACCCTTCCAATTCAAAGGTTAGAATAGTTCATTATGAAATTTCAGGGGTGAATGAGTTAACAAGTTGTTAACACAACTTTTAAAAATTCAGATTTTGAGGAATATCTAAAAAATTACTTAAAAAAATTACACCAAAATCTGTCCTTAAGTTTTTCTAACTCGTATTTTGCCATTTCATTGGAAATAACAATATGAATCAGACAACTATAAAAGATTTGGGGTATAGGTGTTATTAAAAAAAATCCTCTTAGTACCTTTGTGATTGCGCTGGGTCCAATTTGGGACAGAGGCACTACATAGAAGCGATGAGGAAATTTCTTATTTCTTCTATTCCCCAAATCTTTTAACTCATTTATAATGAACTATTTCAGCCTTTGATTTGGAAGAGTTCAAATGTCTTCAGGGATAAATGAGTTAAACATTAGCGTATTTATCGACTGCAGGTGATCTTTTTGAATCCATTTAGTTTCAAATTGAAATCTTTTTTGAAAATGTAACAGATCAAAGTTTTAAGTAAAGTTAGAAGTTAATGCTTTGAACTGGACCTAGGACTCTATAGTTGTATATCCATGAACTGATTTATAACAAGTGTCATCAGCTTAATGACACCAGATAAAATTGCTATTAGTGAATATTTTTAAAATCATCAAAATGAGAAAAACGAAATCTGATGGCTTTGGAATTAAAACAATCAATCTAGGATAAATAAATAAAAAATAAAAAATAAATATATATATGTTGAAGTATAATAATGGAGCTAGGTGCTATCAGATTGACACTGTTTGTCTATGTGGTTTACTTGTAGGTGAGGAAATTGTACTGAAGGGTACGCCGAACTTCTTACTAACAGGGAGCTATCCACTACCTCCGTTTTCTGATGAGTCTACAGTTAGCAGCACCACTGAGGAGATCTTACCAAACATGTTCCCCATCCTGCCAACCATAGACTTCAAATCAACACATTTTTATAACTTAACCAACAGCGTAGGTGAGTCTGGAGTATATATTGGTCTACTTTTCCTGGAGTTATTTGGCAAGTATTTAATTTAACAGGGAAGGCAGTAGTGTGATTTCACAAGGACTTGAACCACTGACCTCCAGCCTCCCAGCCTGCCAATCTACAGATTGAACCAATTGAACTTAGGGGAAATTTCCTCTAGTGCATAGCTAGCAGGGGACCATAATCCTATCTACAATTAAAACTACGTCCTTTTTTAAATGTTTACGCCCTTGAACACCTCTGCAACCAAGGTTCTAATTCCCTGTCACCACAGGGAGGGCCACAGACACCATATTTGTCACAGGAAAACGAATCAGCGACCATCAGGACCCCAGTCCACCTTTTAGTAATTGAGAGATAAAGAGCATTATGTTTTCATCCAGTCTGTCTCAATTACTCTCCCAATTCTTGTCACCACTCAAGACGATGATGACATTATTTGATTTAAGTTTTCACAATGTTATCCTTGGGATATACATTTTCACAAGCACAAGTATGGTCACTATCTGTCCATCATGACTATCTATAGAATTTTATAGAAATTATTTTGTCATCACTGAATCAGCCGTAGTCACACATTTACCTTGGACATATCTTTTACAAGTATGGTCGTCATCGGTCAAAGGTCAAGCTTATTGTTACCAAAAAAAGAATTTTACAGAAAATTGCTTGGTGTCACTCAAGCTGGGGTTTTCATGAAACTTAACACAAAATTACCTTGAACAAGTATGAGTATCATCATTTTCAGTTCAAGGTAAAATTCAACATTACTATGGTAACAGTATAGTTTTACAGAAATACGGCTCATCATGACTCCATAGCTCAAGAAGAGGTCAGGGGTGTTTTAAACTCTGCACATTTTATTTAGATTTTTAAAGATGTTGACGATGAAATGTCTATATCAGGGTTTCAGTTTACCTCCTTTTGGGGGTGTATATGGTCCTAAAATGGCTTTTGAGTGGTCGGATGGTGGAGTGGATAACGACCTCGCCATTCAACAAGGCAGACCGGGTTCTATACGGTTTGCCATATAAAGGGGTCAGAATTTGTAATTTTATACCAGATTTTATCCCCCGACTTCTATGTCTTGCAAAAACACTGTATGTTATATTTTTCAGGTTTCTTGAGTAACACTGACCGTCATCCACATACATTTGTTACGTCCAGCTGCGACTTTTGGAAAGACGATTTCCGACAAGCCAGGTCTGTGATGTTCTGTCTTGCCTACACTATAGCTGAGGCAAGACTTAGATTTGGGGTAAGTTATCAAGTTAGGTTCCTTAGGCCTATGTACACTTTAGCTTGGACACAAATACAAATATATAATTATATATATATGGTTACTCAGACTTTGTATAATCAAATCTGGTCACGTGGTGAAATTGTTCAAATATTTGTTCACTTTTTGTTTTCTAGATTCTTCCTGATTTTGAATAATTTAAAAGATGTAGCACTTTGAAGTATTTCTGAAATTATACATTGCCACTGTTGTACTCCTTGGTGTTTTCAAATGTAAACATTTAAAATACTTATGACTGCTTAAGATATATTTTACAGCTCATTAATTTGGTGTTTTTCATAGAGTACTTCATTTAATTTCATGTGTTGGTGGCCCTAAGAAACCACTTTATATTGATGGGCCATTAACTCATTCCCCCCTGAAGACACATTTGAACTCTTCCAATTCAAAGGTTGGAATAGTTTATTATGAAGTTTCAGGGGTGAATGAGTTAACAGCAGAATAAATGAAAACAATAATTGTGAAATTCTAAACTGTGAATGAACTAGATTTTACTAAAACAGAATTATTAATTTAAGCAAAAGGAAGATTCGATTAGCATGTAACTTTAGTATGTTTTTCATCTGTTCAACAGGAGGATGTACAGACACTTCCAGAACCCATCTGTATACAGAGCGTCAGTGTCGGGGAAACCGGCATAAACTTTGTGTTTTTCCAACTAAATACACTGGACTTCAGTTCTGAAAGTGGAGTTAAAAACCAAGCATGGCTTGATACTGGAAACAATTTGTACACAAAAATTATGTCACAACCTTGGAACGGCAGTGACTTTACCAAACATCGGTACACAGACTTCATAGAGACACCCTTCAGTAAACTCCTGGCCGCGATGCAGTATGGCCTACCCCCATCATAGGGGATTGTGTGATTGACAAATTGAACTTTTTAATAAATGTATGACATACTCGTTGTTTGTCTCGTTTTCTAAAGGGGAGAATAAATCTGATTTAAGGTGTAGTTTAACAGTTTTACTCACCTTGTAAACTTTTTGGTTTCCTATCCGAGTCCTAAACAAAACGGGACTGGCCGAATTGAGTCGATCGATGAAGAGACTCTTTATTGGAATCCAAAGGTTCAGTGATTTCCTCATTGACATAACCTGCAGGGCAAATATATGTGTAACACTGTGTAACAGGAGAGAGAGAAAATGTAACGGCCAGACCAGGGTTCAAACCCTAGATGGATGCTTAACCAATTGGGCTACCTGGTCGCCGATGATAGACCCAGTCCAGTTCCGATACATTTCTCCCTCCTTTTTCTTAGTCTTCAGCCCTGAAGACAACTATTTACGACCCAAGTTCAGGTATTCCCTTGCTAAGTGTACGCCCGATGCTTGAAACAAGGGTTGGCAAGCTCGCCAATTCTGTAGCAGGGGAAAGAGAAAATGTAATGGCCTGACTGGGGTTTGAACCTGGGACCATCCAAACTCTAGATGAACGCTCTACCAATTGAGCTACCTGGTCACCGATGATCGACCCAGTCCAGTTCCGCTATGTATGTATTTATATAATTGTCTCGCTAAAGGAGAGGATTGCCCTGAAAATTTGACAACCTCATATTGTCTACACTGTTGGAATTACTTTCCTGCCCCATATACCAAGTTCAAATAATTTTTATCCTACAAACTTACATTTGCAAGGATCCAGTGTTGTTTGGGAAGTTACTACATGTATTGACCAAGTAAAAAATAACCAAAAAATACAAAAATTATGAAGATCTGAAAACTTTGATACTTACTGCCGGTTACACATTTGACTGTAGCACATTAAATGAGGTCATTCTGGTTTAGAAAAGTCATTGTTGTGGTTGGAATCTAAGGTCCATTTCATTACAATCAGGTCCCTATCATAATTCAGCATAGGAGGTCTGGTGGCACAGTGGATAGCGTACTTGCCTTTCACCAAGGCGGCCGGGGTTAGATTCCCCGATCGGACGTGAAAAGCTATGGGGGTCACCTGCCCGACCACGTAGGTTTTTTCCCAGCTATTCCGGTTTCCTCCCACAGTAAGATCCCCCCACAAGCTAGCATCCGGGCCAACAAGAGTGATTGGTATAAGTTGTAAAAACTTGTTTCATAATTGTTGTTAAATAAATAAAGTTTATACTTTTATATTTAGCATAGTTAAGGAACTATACATGAAAATGTGCATTCACTATCTTCCTTACTATGAAGAGCAAATACAATCGGGTAAATGATGGAGCATCTACACCAAGGATTCTGTCACGGTGGACATTTTATTGTGTTGACAAGTTTCGGTAGGCAAGGCCATCATGTTGTTCTGATGACGGTTGGCCTTACCTCCCAAAACTTGTCAACACAATAAAATGTCCACCATAACAAAATCCTTGGTGTTGATGCTCCATCATCTTATTGTATTGCACTTGTCTTGGGTGGAGCCCTGTTTGAATACTCCCAGTATCCACCTCTGATTCCTGAACCATTTTGGGACTAGACTATTGCCTAGGTTGCGGTTCTCTGTGCCTTATAATTGTGTTGGTTTACCAACACTTTTATTTCCTGTTGCATCCAAGAAGGCCTTAGAAATTGTTGCTATTGATCTATTGCTACAATTCTAGTTCATCTGAAGTCTGATGTCTGTGCACATCATCAGTCATTTATTAGTAGTGAACTTTTCCTTTAATCAACTTCTACAGAATTGTAAGGCCTGGAGTCGTGATACTACTTACCGTCTGTAGCTTGCTGTGGTTGGTTTTGGGTTTTTTACTTCCTATTAACAGCTATGTTATTAAAGGATATGCAAGGTTTTAATGTTTGAGGAAAGCTGTAGAACCTGGAGATAAAACAAGGTTACCGCGAGCGGTATATAATACGCCCGTCACACATTGAATGAGCAGTTGTTTGTATGATTGAAATATATGAAGTATTTGTGAGTAATTGATATTGAAAGAGAAATCATTCAACATAACTGGTAGATCAATGAGTGCAATTCAACATCATGGAACACATGCATCGCATTAATGAAACCAAGGGGAATAACTCCAATAATTACGGTCGGATAATGGCGGTTATCGAACTTGTCCGAGGTTTCATGGTAATTAACCTTGTTGTGAAGTTTGAAGTTAATCCGTTGATAATTACTTGAGATATCGAGCCAACACTGTTTCGACAAGTCCATAAAGGAGCATAACTCCACAAATAATGGTCGGATAATGGCAGTTATCGAACTTGTCCGAGCTTTCATGGTAATTAACCTTGTTGTGAAGTTTGAAGTTAATCCGTTAATAAT